TATTTTAATGAAACAAATTCTTAAAAATAATGAACAACCATTTATAATAACTGCAACTAGAATAAGATACATAATGGAAAGGATTATATAATGATGTAAATATTTTTCATTTTGCGCCTCGAATTGGCCCTTTTGTTTTCTTTAATAAATTGGCACTAAGAATTCAATGATAAACGTTTGTGAGAATACTGATGCATCATCATACCATTGGGACAAAATCTCGGGTAAATCCCTTAACATTAAGATCTGCTATTTATATCGCGACTTCCATATCGTTTCGTTAATTTCTCGTAATAATTATTCAAGGAGAGTTCATGTTTTAAAGATCAGCAATTCTGAAATACATGTATGCTTTTTTAATATACGTCGATACGGAAGAGTTACTACTCATTATATATATATATATATATATATATATATATATATATATTTATTTATATAAAACAATATAATTAATGAGAACCTATACAATGAATAGTTGAAATAAAAACTATATTTCGCAAGTTTAAGCTCATTTCCCTTATCGGAATTAACGATCCTCGAGATTCGCATTTTCCTTTTTATTCTCTCGACAATCTAAATCTAAATGGAAGACAGGATAATAGGTATATTTATTTTTTCGAAGGCTTTTCTCTTACATATAATTTATACTTTGTAGGTAATTCTTATTGAATCTAACTTTGCAATCTTATAATCGTATGGCAATCATCGGCAGTGATACATACACTGGTAAAAAAAAAAGTTTTCTTAACACTTATTTTATCGTGAATGACGTCATTATTGACAGATAGGAAACGATCAATCCACTATAGTCATTTTCATTAATCAAGTCTTAAAACGCAAACACACTTTTCATCGTATTAAAATCAATCGCTCGAATAAAAAAATCAGATTATATACTACCAAAATTAATTTCATTCTTTGGTAATAGAGTGTGTCAATCTGCGAGCTCGAAATACTAATAATAAACTGAAATATTTCTCACGTATAACAAATAATAGCAAATTGTGACAAATAATAAAACGAAAGAAAAAAAAAAGACGTGGATTTGATGTCATATATGAAAAATAAATCGCATTACGATTTGAATGAATTACCTTCGTACAAGCATTTATAAACAATATCATTATTAAAAACTTTTAATTATTACGAAACAAACATTGTTTTTTATTACGATGAGAATAATTTTTAATAAAAAAGAATGAATTCTTTTCCTCTTAAAGGATCGGCATTAGATACATTAAATTCTTTTTGTTTCATCTTTCAATTTAAAATAATTTAAAACATTCACTTACTACAAAAGTAAGCATTAAAGTTGTATAAAAGATCTGTATTTAAACTAAATTTTTTTTTTACCGTACCTTAATGATATGATAATAAACAGCTTTAATAAATATCCTAGTTTAAATAAAAATCATACTTTAGTGAATTTAATTTTCACAAGAAAATTGCATTTACAATCGTTCGAGCATATATAATATTAATTTTTTTTTTCTTTTTAGATAATAACTATGTGTAAGTACAAAAAATTGTATTTTCTGTATGTATTTTTCATAATACTGAGCGCTCTAATGTCAGTATTTTTCCAAAGCAAAGAAAAAGCTTTAGCAAAATAAGAAACTAAATTTCCGTTCCATTCGGCTCGCGGAATGAAAGAACGAAAAATTATAAAAACAAGAAGAAAAAAACAAGGGAAAAAAACAAGATAAAAAAAAAAACAAAAAAGAAAAGAAAAAAGAAAAAAAAAACAACAAAAAAAAACAAAAAAATGCAAGATATAAGGAATGAAAGAACGAAAGAAGAAGAGCAAAGAGCAGAGAGAAGTTTAATAGATAAATTAAATAATGGACGGAAATCAGACGTTAATGTTACAAGGCTTCAATTCCATAAATTGATAAGGCACGTGAAGAGTTGTATTGTTGTGCTCGACGAGCAAATGTCCGCGTCTCTGCGATGCACCAATCACGAGGACAGTTTCACCCTTCAGCAATACGACTTCGCCTTCGCCCTCTTCTGTTGGACAATGTAACGGGTTACCTTGGATTATCACGCCAATTGGACATGCAAATATTTTATCAATTTATAGGGTATCAATTTACCGGGAAATGGCGTTTTCATAACCCTCGTCTGCGGATATCCGAGCTTAGTGTTACCAGTCACAGTGTAGGATCTGCTTGGCGGAACTGGCGGCGGTCGTTCCTTCGAATATCAAATTACATATTAGACAATCAAATTTTTCATTTAACGTGTTACGATTTATCATTCGATTTATCATAGAGTTTCCCCCAGCGACTGACTCCTCGGCTCGCCTGGCGAAAAAACATTGAATTCTAATTAAATCGCTCGCAAGCCATATTTCAAATATGCACAGTCCATAATACGCAAGACACATTGACATTTTTATTTCTAAATACGTCTAATGTGCATATGTTGTCGTTTAATCTCGGCATTAATATGTTCCGAAATTCTACACATAATTAAGTTATCATCGCATTTGATATTAAGTTTATTTATAACGATTTCTATGAAAGAAGAGCGTATGAATGTACGACGATAATGCCAATAGCTATTCATATGTAATAATTTAAAATTCAAATTCAAAATTCCAATGCAATTCCAAACTATTAGTAATAATGAAGTTGTTAATAAAAAATAAATAAATAAATAAATAAATGAAATCTAAAGAAAGTTAGTTGCTAAACCATTCAAAAAAAAAATTTAATCAATGTCTTCATTATTGATAAGATTTTTACACGAATTTTATTTTAAGTTGACAAGCGAAGAAATGCAACCGTAATAAAACTACATTTCCATAAGTCGTTTGAATTATTTTATTTTCCAATTATTATTCACAAGTTTATAAATAGATGGAAAATTATGTATAGAAATTAATGAGCAAACTACGTGTGGAAAAATCCATCCACTTTCAATGCTTACCGCTAAAATCAGTAAAAATGCTAAATACATTGAACTGTTGAGTAAGTGTAACTTATCATTCAAATGTAATTTTCATATATAAATAATATTTAATAGAAATTGAATGGAGGAGAAATTTTATGAAAAGTTTTATCGCTTATGCGGTCGAATGGACACGACATAGTTGAAAAGGAGTTGATGAAGTTAACTGTAACAAACATCTTTGATGGAGTATTAACATTACGTGTAAACGTTTGAAAATTTATTTCTAATACCCAAGTGCATTTACTATATTTTACTATTTATTATCTAATCTTCCCGTTATAGAAAATCTTTTCTTAAAATGTGTTCTTAATTTGAGTAGTTTCCGTTATGTTACGATTTGCCCGAAATTTCGACAATTTAATTGCATCTAAATTAAATAAATTGTCCCATGATAAATTCCATCTGCTTTGCCATTGTCGAATGAGACAATTGTTGGATTGAAAAATTAGGAAAAATTTTTTTTTAATGATCTCATAAACTTCTGTGGGGAAAAAGAACTGATTGTGCGTTTTTTACGTTCGATTTTACGACTTCGGGAGTCCTTTACGCTTTATAAACTTTATAGACTCTTTGTAAACTCTGTATGCTTGAATTTATAAAATTTCGCCGGGATTTTATTTTTTATATCTTCTTTTTTTTTTTTTTATTTTTTTTTTTTGTTTTGTTTTGTCTTGTTTGCTTCACATGCTTGTGAAATTATTTAAAAATCCTTTTGAAAATCATAATCAAGAATAGGGATTGTTTAGGAGCTTAGAGATTTTTTCGAAAGAATATTCAATTTACATACAAATAGTGCTACTCGCGAACACGTTATTCCCCAAATTATACAAACTTTTTTTTTTTTTTTTTGTGTCGCAACTTTGTTCACAACAGCGGTTCATGTTCATGAATTCAGCAGCCTAGATGCACAAGGACGGGCAATGAAATTTGTAGACGAATGCGATTATGCCGAGGATAGCGGAGAAATGCATATTGATCGATTAACTGATGGCGCTACATTGCATTGTGACTCTCATTCTCGAGACAAGTGACGGTAAAGGGATAATTTTACCCTCGAGATTCATAGGTACACCATTCTATGTATGCGTGTACATTTTGCTTGCATTTGCAGAAATACCGCAGATGCATACAGAGAATTAGTGTAAGTAAGTGAATAGTGTAAGTGGATAGAAACGAATGACGATAGGGTGTGACAGATAGGTAGGGATGGAGTGTGCATTCTCCATTCAAATATCTCAGATGAAATCCTCCATAAATAATGTACAATTACTTAGGTCTTATCACTACATGCACGTATACTAGCGAAAAAATGAAAATTTGAATTATTACAGTCATTATAGCCCCGTCTCACCCTGTCGATTGTACGACTATGTTAAAACAAAGTAATGGAAAACGTATGATTATATAGAGTTCGATCTATAATTTAGGTCTTCTTACACTTTAATACAAATGTATTATCACTCGTTGCATTTAAACTCGAGCTACGATGAAAGATAAGATATACTTCGTGAAAATTATGTGAGATCGCGTATCAAGAATAATACCGTAGACACACGGCGCTGCTATTAAAGCGATTCGCCGACTAAGACGAACGTGAAGAAAATATTTGAAATCAGTCGATTTTCAAGGGTTATAATCACAATGGCTTATATTTTCCAAACATTTTCCAAATTATCCTCTCGGCCGAGACGTAATCTGCCGAGGCGACCTCGTTCTATCCAAATATTGTAAGTTTTTATCGTCGGTAAGGCATAGGCATTGATGACGCATTGATAACGAAAGTAAAAGCAACTTGACATTGGACGCTCTCGATAATCGCAGCGACAATCCAATCTGGCAGATCCCTCGGCAAGGAGATTCCAATTTACGAAAGAACGGAAATAAAGGATTTTATCGGCGAGATTCGCATAAAGCCGGCAGAAGCGTGCTTCATCGCGCAAGAGACCTAACAAAAGCTCCCGAGGCAGAATTGCCGGTCAAACAAAGCAAGGGCAAAGTCACTCACGAGATCGAGGCCGAAGAGGGTGCAAGTCTGCTGTATCATCTTGGGGTCGGCGCACTTTTCGGAGGGGTCGGGTGGTGGGGTACCGGCGATCGGTTGTGGTCGCGGCCTCACCCCGACGAGGCCACGTTGAAGCGTTCCAGTGGTCGCGACGCCGACTCCGACTCCAACTCCGAGCCCGGCCCCGGTCCCGGCCCCGGGACCGATCCCACCTCCCGATCCAGCTCCGGTCCCCAGTATAGTCCCAGCCGACGGCTGTGCGTGCTTCTGACCGAGGACACTTGCCATCCCCATCTTCGAGCGGCGCAGCGTCCATCTTCGACGAATGCGCCATCCACGCCAGCTCGCCTGCAAAAAAAATTGAGTATCCAAGCAACGTTGCCCCCGTCAATCCATCTGGTCATCTGCTCCGTACCCACAAACGCGCGCGCGCGCGCGCACCCACGCACGCACAAAGCGCAACACGAGTTGCAAGGGGACGCGCGATTTAATGCTCCAATAACGACGAGCTCCTCTCGACTTTTCTCGCGTTCGTTGCTTTCTTAACCGATCCGACGGTTTTTCCAAATTTTCTTCTTAACGCTCGTAACTCGCGATAAGCACGATCGATTGGCGACATACAAAGCACAAATAAAGTCGAGCCTAAGGAAGTTAGCCGATATAATAATAATGATTATTTAATAACGATTGATAATAATGACGACTGCCAAGCATTATTGATCCTTCGGTCGATCGTCGAATCGTTGATTCCACGCATACACGACAGATATATTATCGCACTTGCTCTTCTTGAAAAATGATCATCGAGCTTGCAACAAGCCACGGTGCTTGCAACTTGGCGTCGGAGAATCCCCGATAAAGCTCGCACACGCCGCCTCGCTCGTCGTCCTTTGAGCATTCAGTTCAAACGAACACGATTCAATACGTCTTTGTCGCGCACGAACCTTGCAAATCTCATATCGTAAGGAATAGCCGATGTATATTTAATGGCTGTATTAAGGAGTTTAATGAGCGACGGATGTAGAAAAATCCGAGGTGTCGGATCGGTGACGTACCTGGATATCCGTCGCAGCCCTTCTGCGTATCTCCGAGCGCAGGTGCTCGAGCTGCTGCCTGATACCCTCGCTGAGGAATATGTGCCGCTTCCCGAGGGCCCAGCTAGTGCTCGCGTTGAAGTTGCTCTTGACCTGCTGGGCATTCTGGAGGATGAGTCGCGTGTCCTCGATGGCCTGCTCCTCGCTGCGGCGCAGCTGCTTGAACGGTGCGATGAGCCGGTAGCGGGCGTTGAACGCCTTGAAGCGCATCCTGTGCGGATAACCTGCGAATGCAAGGGTATAAGAGGTGAGCGACGGGGCCGGTTGTTGGGGCTGTGTAGTGGGAGGCGCATCCGCAGCCTCCGAAGCTCGTGATCGAAATAGATGCCGAGAGGGGATCCGGACGACTGGAGCTCATCATTGTGGAAGGGCTATTTCGTGGTCGCATTGGCCATCGCATTAATAATTGTAGTGCTTAAGAAGGTTGCTGTTGTCGTATGAGGAAGCTGCGTGAATTAGGGTGAGGAGGAGGAGGAGGAGGAGGAGGAGGAGGAGGAGGAGGAGGGGGGGGAGGACGAGGAGGAGGAGGAGGAGGGGGGGGAGGACGAGGAGGAGGAGGAGGAGGGGGGGGAGGACGAGGAGGAGGAGGAGGAGGGGGGGGAGGACGAGGAGGAGGAGGAGGAGAGCGCGTTTTGTTTTGTTGTTTTGTGCTTAAGAAGATTGCTGTTGTCGTATGAGGAAGCTGCGTGAATTAGGGTGAGGAGGAGGAGGAGGAGGGGGAGGAGGAGGAGGAGAAGGAGGAGGAGTGCGCGTTTTGTTTTGTTGTTTTGTGCTTAAGAAGATTGCTATTGTCGTATGAGGAAGCTGCGTGAATTAGGGTGAGGAGGAGGAGGAGAGCGCGTTTTGTTTTGTTGTTTTGTTGTTTTAGATGGGACTAGGTAGTTGGGAAAGGGGTGGGAAAAAGTCGAACCGAGTGTAAGTCAGTGTACCGCGTGTAAGGCGGTGTTGTACGTAATAAATTTCTAATTGAGTCCTTTGAATTTAATCGACGACTGGGTGGGAGCGTTCGTGCGAAATATGATAATCGTTGTAATCACGCGGCACAGTCAATTTTAAGGAGTAAACTAAATTGCAGCACGCGATCACCTCCACATTTATCACAAGTTTTTTGAATTAATTGACTAAAATGTCGTTAAAGATTTAACAAATACTTGATCTGTCATGCAAAATGAGTAGAGGAATGCATGGATCTGCAACATTAAGGATGCAAGTATCGTTACACTAATAACCTTATATTTTCGTGATCTGTAAGCCCCATTGCAAAATCTTTCTCAAAACACATACAACTCTGCGAGGATTTTAGGAAGGGAATTTTCTTTCCATTTATAGTCAAGTTAATTTTGTATGCTAACCACTACTTTTTACATCAAATTAGAGTGTAATTTCAAAGTTTATTGAAAAAAACCGGTTGTTGGAATTGGTCACTTATCCTGTTGTACATATCGTTTTCATTTATCATTAGCTTGCAAACTACATTACATATTTTATTTTCCTTCTCTCTCCATTAATTTTTTCCATTCTGCAAGTTCAATTTAAATCCAAATGAAAGTGAGTGACTCTACTCTCGAATTTTAATTCTCCCATTCCCCCGTCCTTTATTCGGTAATTCGGCTTAATTGATAATGAAGACATAAGCTGCTTGGCTTACACGCTTTTAAAGCATTTAACGCATAAGTCATGTACTACGTGATAATTTCGTTTAAAAAAAAAAAAAGTGAGAGAGAGAAATGTAAGTACAGTATTGCATTGGTTAGTCTTACCTCCAGCCATGAGATTGACAGTTTCCAAAACTTGGAGGGATCGTATTTGGCGCATAGCGACGTTACGATCGAACTGCAAAAGTGTCTCGGACGCATTGCTTCTCACGCACCTGACGAAATGCGGCCTCGCGTGCACCAAAGTCCTTAATAAGTTGTCGAGTCGCGTGTGGAAATCTTGAGTTAAGGTGGAAATTGGCTCGTCGCCGTTTAGCCTGTAATAATGCGCCGATTATTTCACGTGCGCGCGATTTTTTCAGACCCCGCGTTACTCCATATTTACAAATTTACAAGACGAATCGATATAAAATTCTTTCAAACGAAAACAAAAAATATTATGCCCATGGCCTCGAATATATAGCCTCACACACACACACATACACGCGCGCGCTTAATATCTGCATAGAAAATAGTTAATTATTCATTGAAAGCCGTAAAAAAAAGATTGTCGTGATTTTTTTTTTCTTTTTTCTTTTATAATAAAACTATTAGTAGAAAGGTGTATGTTTTCGTGAATTATTGGCCTGTAATATTGTTAAATGTTAATATATTTTTTATAGCTAGCGACAGTGTCTTTGGTATTCGTTGTCGATGTTGCTAATAAATATATACATTAAATAAATATATTACAGGGACATATTTATTATTTAATTCGAGCAGGTAAGTATTTTTCTGGTTGCCTTAAAACAAATTAAACAAGTATAGAAAATTAACAAAATGTCCATTAGCTTTTGTGACTAATTGTAAAAGTCGAAATAATATTTATTTGATGATATCATGAGTACGAATTTTTTTTTTTTTTTTTTTTTTTTTTTTTTTTTTTTTTTAATGAAAACTTTACGAAGAATCCAAATTACAAAAGAAATACCACCACACGCAAGTATATTGGAGTGGAATTGAAAAATTCTAATTCTAAACACGTCACGCTTATACTTGGGCAAATAATATATCTTCGATTATTGCAAAAGCATCCAATAAAATACAAATTACTTACCGGCTGAATATCACAATAATTTCTATTATATATTTGCAGATGCTATTATTTACTTATCAATTATCATATCTCGATAGAGATTAGTTTTGTATTAGTTTTGTTGTATTATATTATCATATCTCGATAGAGATTAGTTTTGTATTAGTTTTGTTGGATTAGTTTTGTTTATTTACTTTTGTAAACTTTTTCATGCACATACACACACACACACACACACCCACTCACACGCGCACTCTCTCTCATTTTTACAGACTTTAGACGAATTTATAGAATACAAACTGGAAGTATTTTAAATCTTAATAAAACTCTAATGCCTCTTACCTTAGAAAAAATCATAAATAGATGTTATTGAACGGATAATATCACTATTTTAAATCGATAAGGCTCAAGTATTGCATAAAGTAAAAAAATAAACTTTATATCTAATGTTTCATGTTATTTATTACGACATTAAGTGCGACAAGCGATGATATTATACATTGGCATTCACTACTATTATTTATATTAACTAAAATTATTTCGTTGAAAGGCCAATCAAGTGTCACTGATCGTGCTTTAAAAAATCTTCACTTTTTTTCATAACGACATTTACAAATTAAAAGTTAGCATTACTTACAGATCGGTGTGCGAGGTTGGCGAAATGCGAAAACTAACGCCTCTCGGTACGGTATCACTCGCATAAAGAGCTTTAAGCTCGCTCCCAAATAGATGAGTCGCAAATCCAAAATTGCACGTATGTTTATAAAAAACAGCGACCAAATCGTCCGGGACGACATCCTTATTCGTGTCTGAACATTTTTAAAACATATTCCATATTATTTTGTGAGTCGTCTCGTCGGATAATCATTATTCTCTGCTTCACGAGTCTTATTAACAATAATATTACGGAATTACAGATGGGGAATTACTTTTTTTAATGTATTTCGAACTTTGTCATAGACGACAAGCGACAGTGACGTACAATTCATACAAGATTGAATGGAAATTGTCCGTGATAAAAAGTTCTTTGTGTAATTTATTTGCAAAAGTCTAAGCCAAATAATGTAGGAACAGCACAAAATTACAATAAATAAAGGCTCCGAAAAGATTTTCAATGTTCGATAATAGTAGATGGCGGTCGAGGTTATATATATAACGATCAACCATGTGCTTCGCTCCCAACACTCACCGAGAAAGTCCGAGGCGTCGTATGTAACTCGACCGGCAAAATGCTGAATACCAAAGGAACGGCAGTCGACGGTTCTCGGCTCGAACAGCCGAGGATTTTGTTTATGTTGAACTTTAACCTTGGAGACGTAGCTCTCGGCGGTGCCTCTGATCGAGCACTCGACATCCAGCATACTGAGCAGACCCGTCCGCTGAAATCATCGATGAAATAATGTTGACTTTTAAAAAGGAGTAGGTACGATTAAAAAAAAAAAAAAATGTTAATGATCGCTGTAAGATCGCGAGCTTGAAAGTTTTAGCTTAAATGTTGGTCCGTGGATTCGGGCGTAAATGGATATTAAATTTTCCTTTTCTTTTATTATTACTCCGGATGTCCCATGGGCACAATTTTTCATTAATGGAAATGTCAACGATCAACGAGTCTTTCCTCCTTATGAAAACTCCCTTATGCCCTATTCGTCCGCTTAATTCTTCGGATGGAAAATTTTATCGAACAGGCTGTGTGACACTTTCTTTTATTCATCCGAGACGACGAATATAAGATTTAAATAATTATTTACATTAATTAATTATAAATGGCGCGTTTTATCACATTACAGTCTAATATTGACCTAAAAAGCCCGTAATTGGAAATTTTCATGTTCAGTTTACAAAATAATATCCAATAGCTACCACTTTATTCGTAAGAAGAAAATTATTTTCGCGGAAAGCTATAAAAGACGTTATTTCACACGAACGAATTAATCTATTTACAATTAAGGAATTTTCTATTAATTCAGATTTCCATTGAATGAAATTTAATCCCATATAAAAGGACTTTTTAAAATTGTTTATATGTGTGTGTGTGTGTGTGTGTGTGTGTGCGTGTGCGTGTGCGTGCGCGTGTGTGTGTGCGTGTGTGTGTGTGTGCGTGCGCGTGTGCGTGCGTGCGTGTGCGTACGTGTGCGTGCGTGTGCGTGCGCGCGTGTGTGTACATATTTAAAACGATAATATACTTAAAGCTTAAAGAAAGTATTATGGTAAAAAATATTTTCAACAGAAATACGATGTGAAACTTGGAATTTTCTACGACTTCTTTGCTAAAAGCTGTGCCCAGTGATCTAACTATGTTATTAATTAAAAAATGAGAGAAAACTCTGTAACTTCCGTGCTTTCGTATTACGGTAATTTTCAAAGGTCATAGAAAATTTCTAAAAGTCTAAGTGTTCCCGTACTTGCAACCTTATCGATTGTAAAACATTTACGCTCAATTAACGAATAAATACCGCACACGTTTGTTGACTGTTGAGTTAATTATTAAAGGGTCGAAGATTAGATATGTGTGGAGCTTAAGCGATCAGGTGCGAAAGAAGCAACGGAGGCAAAAACTGAAGAAAAGAGCTTAAATGCAAATGTAAATTCTGACTGGGCCAGATTGATCGAATGGCAAAAATGTAATTGGTTCGTTATTAGAAACGTTGAAGGATTATCACACGCGCGATACTTTGTTCGGGTGCGTTGAGCAAGGACTGACGGAATAAAATTGAAGCGACACGCTGGCGCGCGAATCGTCATCCTCATTGTCGTTGTCGCCGTCGTCGTCGCTGCAGCTGGATAATGGTTAATGGACGGGGAATAAAGGGGAGGCAATGGAAGGAAACGAGGATGAGGGAAAATCTTCGAGGCATTGTGTAAAAACTGTCGTCTCACCAGCGAGGAGATGAGGTCGATGCAGGGCACATTATCCACGTAATCGACCTCGACGTCGCACCTGATACCCTCGTCCCTGCAACTCTCGATCGAGCTCTTGAATATGTGGGTGTTGTAAAAGTGCTGCATCGTCTCGGCGCAGAGATTGATGCAGAGGTGCTCGAGCTGGCTGGGCTTCGGGTCCTCGAAGCCAAACATGTCGAGTATGCCGATGAAGCCGTCGGTCGCATGCCTCACAGCATTATTGAGCGCAGTCATGCTGCGCGAGCCGGTGCCGCCTAAACATCGGCCGGTATTAGCAAAAGAAACCGGGGGCCCGTTGGGCATTGAGGGCCGACTTTGCGTTAAGCCATCGGCACAATGGCCCCGTTTGTCGTTAGCGATTAATGGCGATAAGCCCCTGCGATTGCGCCTGCTTTGCCACTTAGTCGCGCGGCTTAGTGGTGGAAAGTGCGAGTGGAGCGCGACGGCGGCATGCTTTATGAGGGGAGCGAGGGAGGAAGAAGGAGGAAGAAGTAGGAAGAAGAGAAATGGAATTAAAGGGAAAATGAAATACTTTGTCGCCCTTAGGTCTGGGCAGATTTTAAAAAATTGCGAAATCGTAATTAAAAGCTTGATTAGATTTATCTAGGGCTTTCTCAACTTTCGCCACGAATAAGAGGATTAAATTGCTCATGGCCGGTAAATATTGTAATCAGCCTTTATGTCGCGTATTTTCACTATCGTCTCACGTATAATTAAGCCGTCTAATGATTCCAGAGGCGTTCGATGCGGTCCGATTATTTTCCGTTCTCCTTCATAAATAACAAAAAAAAAAAAAATTTCTAAAGTACATTTTTAATCAAGCCTCTAAAGACCACTGAATAATTTAATAAGCCTTTTTTTTTTATATTTGCGAGCAATAATTAAGAGACGGTACTCGTTTAAAGTCTGGTGTCTCAAATTATTGTATTCAAGGTCTGAAAAGGATGTATAAAATGACCGAGTAATCCTCGATTAAATGAAAATTTGTAAATGCACAAATACACCGTCGCGTTCTCTCGCAAAGGCACATTAAAGAGAGTAAAGAAGGACGAGAGAGAGAGAGAGAGAGAGAGAGAGAGAGAGAGGGATATGGGGGGA